CTATGAGTCGCCTGTGACTCAATGGCACTTAACAACAACATACTATCATATACATAGTATCTATACTATCTATAGATTATAGTATCTATACTATCGTATTGTCTATACTATCAATACAGCAAACTGACAGATAATCTCACAGTTAAGGAGATTCCAAGTCCAAGGACAGCTGCTTGGCTGACTGACAGGAAGAGATTGATGTTTTTTCCCATTGCCAAGAAAGGTGACCCAACAGAATGTGGAAATTACCAAACAATATCATAAACATCATATATAAAGTCAAATACTACTGAAGATCATTTAAAAATAGCTAGCACAATACATAGAAAACTACCAGAAGTATTTCAAGCCAGATTTAGAAGAATTCATGGCACCAGGGATATAATTCCTGATATCAGATATATCCTGGTAGAAAGGAAAGAATACTAGAAGAATGTCTATTTGTGTTTTATTGCTATGTAAAGGCATTTGACTATGTAGAACATAACAAATAATGCTAACACTGAGAAGAATGGGAACCCCAGAACACTTAATTGGGCTCATGTGAAGCCTATATCTAGATCAAGAGGCTGTTGTGGAACAAAGCAAGGGAATACTACATGATTGAAAATTGAAAGAGAGTGTGCATTAAGATTGAATCCTCTCTCCATACCTATTCATTCTGTGTGCTTAACAAGTCATTCAAGAAGCTGGACACTATAAAGAAGAATGTGGCAACAGGATTCAAAGAATACGTTGGTATGCAGATGACACCTTGCTTACTTAAAGTGACTTGAACACTTGCTGAAGTTCAAAGAATACAACCTTCAATTGGATTACATCTCAATGTCAAGAAAACAAAAATTCCAACCACTGGACCAATAGGCAATATCATGATAAATGGACAAAGGACTGAGGCTGTCAGCAACTTAATCTTCCTTGGATCCACAGTACTGCAGTCAGAAGGTCAGGAGATATATTGCACTGGGTAAGTCTTCAGTCAGGGAACTCTCCATATAATTGAGGAGTGATAACGTCAGATTGAGAGCTAAGGTGCCTGATGCAGACGACAGTCTTCCCAATCATTCGCTATGCATCTAAGAGCTGGACAATGAATGATGACTGAAGAAAAATTGATGCCTTTGAACTATGATGATGGAGAAGAGTTCTGAATATCTTGTGGACTTCAAAATAAAGGAATAGATATATCTTGGAAAAGGTGAAACAAGAGTGTTGTTTGGACACAAGGATGGTGAAGCTTGGTGTCACATAATTTTGTCATGTTGCTAGGAGATGCTTTTCTTTGGAGAAGGACATTATGCATGGAAAGGTGAAGGGTTAGCAAAAGCGAGAAAGACCCTCAACCAAATGAATTGACACAGTCACTGCAGCAATGAAAAGTGTGTCAGAGATTGTAAGGATGGCACAGGATAAAACAGGGTTCAGATCTGTTCATAGGGTCTCTATGCATCATATTCCACTCAATAGCACCTAACAACAACAACAACATTCAATCTGCATTCCAATCAAATAATTTGAGAGACTGTATTTATAAAGAAAAGTGTGACATCAGGCTCAGAGTAAAACTCACCAACAACCTGCCTTATACAGATGATACAACTTGGCTTGCTAAAAGTGAAGGATTTGAAACACTTGCTGTAGAAGATCAAAGCCTATGGCCTTCAATATTGATTATATCTCAACATCAGGAAAACAAAAATCCTCACCATTTGGCCAATAGACAACATCATGATAAATGGAGAAAGATTGAAGTTGTTAGTGATTTAACCTTGGTTAGATCACATTTCTCCAACAGTTAAAAGAGGTATTATATTGAGTAAATATGTTGTAAAGGATGTCTCTAAGGTGTTTAAGAGCAATGATGTAAGTTTAAAGACTAAGGTGCATCTGATTCAAATAATGATCTTTTCAGTCCCTTGTTATGCATCTGAAAGTGAGACAATAAGTAAGGATGACAAAAGAAGAATTTATGTCTTTGTGTTGTGGTGTTGGAGTCTTCCCATGGAATACCAAAAGAACAAACAAATATGGCCTGAAGAACTTGTAACCAGGGTGCTCCTTGGAGGCAAGGATGGAGAAACTTTGTCTCATGTATTTTGGACATGTTTTTTATGAGAAGCCAGTCCTTGGAAAGAGAAATGATCCTTGGTCAGCTAAAGAGGAGAAGAAGACCCTTAACAATATGCACTGACACTATGTAACAAGACACTCAAGTATATTAGAGATGACAAGGATGGCACAGGACAGGACAGGTGCAGATCCATTGTTCAAAAGGTAGCTAAGAGTCATGGTCAACTCAATGACACCTAACAACTACAGTTTTACCAGATTTCAAACAAATATTCTAGGCAAGTCACAGCCTTGAAAAGATTTACCTTTTATCAGATTAAACAGATCATATTTTTACAGAACCATTTCTAATCTTGCCCCATCAACATCATAGAGTTTAGAATTTATAACACATATTGTCATTGTGTACCATTAACTCAGAACTGGCCTACAGCTGACCTTCCAGCAGCTTTTCCGAGGCAGTATATCACAAAAAAAGGAGACTGACCATCTTCCTCCTGTAGATCAGCTAAGAGATTAAAACTATATGACTTTCCAATGGCAGCACAATTCCTTGCCACTGAGGATCATGGCCACAACATTAACTCAACTACACTATTAACCATCACCATTGACATGTTTCAAATTACAATTGCAGCCCTGCACATGCTCATCAGTCTGTTTCAGGATGTTTGGAGGACAGCTGGTTGGCTGACTGACAGTAAGAGATCCATACTTGTTCCCATTTTCAAGAAAGGTGATGAAACAGAATGTGGAAATTATTAAACAATATCATTAATATCATATGCAAGCAAAATACTACTGAAGATCATTCATAAACAGCTAGTACAGCATATAGAAAACTACCAGAAGGTCAAGCTGGATTTAGAAGAGGCCATGGCACTAGGAATATCATTGCTAATATCAGATGAATCCTGACTAAAAGCAAAGAATACCAGAAGAATGTCTACTTTTGTTTTATTTACTATGCAAATGCATTTGACTATGTGGATCCTAATAAATTATGATTAGCATTGAGAATAATGAGTACCCCAGAGCACTTAATTGTTCTCATGCAAAACCTATATCTAGACCTAGAGGTTACTGTGTGAATAGAGCAAAGGAACACTATTGTTATGTGCTGCCCAGTCAACTATGACCCACAGTGACCCTATGAAAAATGGCTCTGAACCTTGCTCTATCCTGAGCAAACCTCACTATTTCTGACACACTTCACCCCATTGCCACACTCACTGTGTCAATACATCTCATCCAGGATCTTCCTCTTATGCGCTGACTCTCTACCTTTCCAAGTGTGATATCCTCCTCCAAGGACTGGTCCCTCCTAGAGACATGACCAAAGTGTGTGAGACAGAACTTCAAAATGCTCACCTCCTCAGACCAAACTCATTTTACCTCTCCAGGACAGACATACTTGGAAGTCCATATTACATTCAATACTCTTCAACGGCACTACAACTCAAAGACATCAATTCATCTTCTATAATCTTTATTCATTGTCCAGCTCTCAGATGCATAGTAAACAATTGAGAAGACTATCTCCTGGATCAGACACAGCTTAATCTCTAGGAGAGATCCTCAACAGCAGATTTTTCCCAATGCAATTCAAATGATATCACTAATACCACATGCAAGCAAAATCTTGCTGAAGATCATTTAAAAATGACTGGAATAGTACATTGACAGAGAACTTCCAGAAATACAAGCTGTGTTTAGAAGAGGCTGGGACACTAGGAATATCATCACAAATGTCATATGGATCTTGGCCGAAGGCAGAAAGGAATGTCTATCTGTGTTTCATTGACTATTCAAAGGTATCTGTGTGATTTGTAACAGATTATGGCTAACATTGAGAAAAATAGGAATACCAGAATACCTACTTGTGCTCATGCAAAACCTATACTTGGACCCCAAGGCAGTCATCAAACAAAGCAGGGAAACATGGTTCAAAATCAGGAAAGAAAGTATGTCAAGGATGTGTCCTGTTTCCATACCTTTTCAATCTATATGCAGAACAGATCATTAGGAAGGTTGGACTTTACAAGGAAGAGGCATCAGGATAGGAGGAAGACTAATCAACAACCTGATTTATGCAGATGACAGGACCTTGCTTGCTGAAATTGAGGAGGGCCTGAAGCATTTGCTGCAGAGTATCAAGGACTGTAGTCTTTAACATAGATTGAAGCTCAACATTAAGAAAACAGAGTCTCACCTCTGGGCCAATTAGAAGCACCATGATGAATAGAGAAGACGGTGAGATTGTTAACGATTTCAGCTTGCGTGGTTCCACAATCAACACTCTTGGCACCAACAGCCAGGAAATAAAAAGATGAATTGCATTGGGAAAATCTGTTGTCAAAGACCTCTCCAGAGTGCTAAAGAGCAATGATAGCAGTCTAGAGAATAAGGTGTGGCTGATCCAGGCCATGGTCTTTGCAATTACCTGTTTTACTTCAGAGAGCTGGACAATGACCAAAGAGGACAGAAGAAGAATTGATACCTTTGAGCTGTGGTGCTGGAGAATAGTATTGAATATACCATGGACTGCCAAGAGAACTAACATGTCTGTCCTGCAGGGAGTGAATCCAAGCTTTTCCTGAGAGGCAAGGATTTTGAGCCTCTGTCTCACACTTTGGACATGTTACCAAGAGAGACCAGACCCTAGAAAAGGACAACAAGCTTGGAAGAGTGGAGGGATAACTCAGGAGAGGATGACCCCAGAGAAGATGGATTGACACAGTAACTGGGGTAATGAGGGTAGGTGTATCTGAGACCATGAGATTGGCCCAGGATAAAGCAGGATGTTAGAGGTATTGTGCATAGTGTCTCTATGAGTCATGGTCAACATGACAGCACTATAACAACAGCAGTGCCAAGATTGTTGATTGTGGATCCAACCAAGATGAAATCACTAAAAACCGTGCACCAAACTATTTGTAGAGGCATTGGGCCAAATTGGGCCAGCCCCTCCATTGAAGGTACACGTTGACTGCATGACCTCCCGAAAGCTTGTGCGACTACCTGGACTGTTAAATGTCCACGTGCACCTTCGGGAACCGGGTGGAACACACAAAGAGGACTTCTCCTCAGGCAGAGTGGCCGCCCTGGCTGGGGGTGTCACCATGGTGTGTGCCATGCCTAATAACCGGCCCCCCATCATCGATGCCCCTGCTCTGGCCCTGGCCCAAAAGTTGGCAGAAGCTGGTGCCCGCTGTGACTTTGCCTTATTCCTTGGGGCCTCATCTGAAAATGCAGGGACCCTGGACCCTCTTGCTGGGTCTGCTGCAGGGTTGAAGCTCTACCCCAATGAGACCTTCTCTGAGCTGCGCTTGGATAGTGTGGCCCAGTGGATGGAGCACTTTGAGACGTGGCCGTCCCACCTCCCCATTGTGGCCCACGCAGAGCGGCAAAGTGTTGCGGCCATCCTCATGGTGGCTCAGCCGACCCAGCGCTCCGTGCACATCTGTCACGTGGCACGGAAGGAGGAGATCCTACTGATCAAA